CCCTCCCCCTCCCCCTCCTCCCCCTCCCCCTCCCCCTCCCTCTTCCTTCTCCTTTTCTTCTTTTTCCTAGCAAGGGAGAGTGATTGAATAAAGAAAGAAGGAAAAAGACTTAGGGAAGAAAAAGGAAATCCAAGGGCTGGTGATCTGGTTCAGTAAGGTGTTTTCAGAGGAGCTGAGGTCAGTCCCCAGAACCCACACAGGCCGTGGTATGTGCCCCGCAGAAACAGGACCCCTGGGAACTACTTGCTGGCCAGGGTGGCTCGATTAACAACTTTAGGGTCAAACGAAAGACTGTCTCCAAGGAAGTGGACGGACAGCTCCTGAAGTTAACACCACAAGCTGCCCTTTAGCCTTCTTGTGCACGTGCACACACACGCACTCATGCACCCTGAATCCAGAGAGCATCAATGCTATGGGGGAAATAATGAACGGAAAGGGAGTGGAAGGTGAGCATTTGGTGGCCAGAGGAGCAGGGAGGAGAAGGCCACTTGGGGAGCAGACTCTGCACTTTCATCTCCAGCTGAAGGCCTGGCCCTGCCCCCAGATGCTGCGACTCCCAGGACACGCACACAGCAGGGCTGATGCGCCCCTGCTTGTTTATGCCTTTTCCTCCCCCCCCCCCCTTTGTTATCCCTTTTGCATTGCCAGCGGGAGCTGAGCCCTGCCATGTTTAAATCCCACATTCAAACACAGCGCTCAGAAGAACAAAGCCTTATTTTTGTTAACAAATTCTATTGTCAAAAACAGCACCGTACAGTTTCTAGCTTCTTTTTTCTTGCTTCTCAGGACAGTGGCATGAAACATCATCTTTTTTTTCCCAAGGAGCTTGTCCCTCCCACTGAGCGCCTGCAGCACATCCGCCCCCTGTGGGTGACAGCCTCCTACTTCCTGTTGGGATAAGATAAAGGGCCTCTAGTGTGGCGCGGCTGACCTCATAATGAGAATTGCCAGCAGGCATAGATGGAGTCCCAAGGAACGGACAGGGCCTGCGAGTCTTTCATAATTAATGGGAGGAGGCAGAAGGTGTG